AAAATTAGAAAATGTTTTGAACTCCATGATAATGACGGCACATACCAAAATTATGTGATGAGCTAAAATAGTACTTTTTGGGGAAATTTAACAGCTTGAAATGCCTTTCAGAAAAGAGAAGAAGTTTCAAATTAATGATCAAAATTTCTACCTTAAGAAACTAACCAAAACCAAGTAAAAGAAGGGAAATAACTTAAAGGTGAAAATCAACAGAAAAAAGAGAAGACACAAATGACCAGTTTAAAAAATGAAAGAGGGTACACTACCACAGATCCAGTGGACACTAAAAAGATAGTAAGGCAAGTTATTTCCGAGTTTATGCCAATCCATTCTAGAACCTACATGAAAAGGACACAGTCTTTGAAAGATACAACTTAATAAAACTGATACAAGAAGAAACAGAAAACTTTAATATTCCTTATTGATTTTAGAAATAAAATTTGCAATAAAAAAGCCTTCACACAAGGAAAATGTCAGGGTGAGATAGCTTTCATTACTGTGAGCTCTACCAAACACTGAAAGAAGAAGTAATACCAGTCCTCTAAGAACTCTTTTAGAAGGGAAGAAGAGAAAATACTTCTCCAGTTATTTTTTTAAGGTAGCATAATCCTAAAAGAATCAGACACCAATATTTGTGATGACTACAGACAAAAGTTGTTTTAAAATGTTGCCAAATTGACTTTCGCTTTAACCCAAGAAGGATTAACTGACAAAGGAGTAGCTCTTCTGTTGTAAACAGCTAGAAAACTGGACCAAGTATGTGAAACAACTATGCTTAGATATTGGACAACAGCCAGTTACAGGGCTGTGGCCTGAGAGAAGGGCCATAAACAAGGGAAACGTTGCTATCACTCAGGTTGTGTTTGGAAGCAGTTTCTGGGCTGCTGCACAGTTAGAGGGAAACTGAATGAACTTGGCTTCTTGCTAAGTTGAGGAATTGGGGAAGGGAGTTTGGGAGGTTGGGGAAGAGGGAGTTATACGAAGAGCCCTAGATGCCTGCCGAGGCTGCCATCCAGTCCTTGGCTGAGTACCTACCCATCTGCCTAGGAGTAGAGCAAGATTCCATGAACTGGGGAAAATCACAAGAAAGCAGTACATGGAACAGTTTGCAGAGCTGTGGGGACTGAGTGCCGAAGAGAGTGAGCACTTGTGGGAGGCTTGCAAATGAGCTGAGTGAGAACCTGGAAGAAAAAGTTTCTTTCCCACTATGCTCTCCAGCAACCTCTACTGGCAAGGATAGCATCACACCAGCTGGCAAAAGAGAAACATTTGCAAGACTTGGCTCTGTTATTATAGAGGTGATCTGTTGATACTTGAAGCATCTAGCATTCAACAAAAAGGTAACCAGCCTGCAATAAAACAGGAACACATGATCCATAATCAGAAAGAAGATAAGCCAGTCATTAGAAACAGACTCACAAATTGGTACCACCACCACCACCACCACCAGCACCAGCACCAGCACTATGAACAGCTCAGTAAAAGATAGATATCAATAAAAAACGAGTACACTTCACAAACGGTTAGATGTGGCTGATAACATGGAAATCTGTTCAAGGCACATTTGTTGGTCATCACAAAATTACTAACTCAAATCACTATGCGATACCAACTAATAAAAAATGAGAAAGATCAACAACACTAAATTTTGACCAGGTTGTGTAGCACTTGAAACTTTGGTACATTGCTGATGGGTAGAGTAAAATGGTACGGTTTTGAAGAAGCTTTTTTCTTTTACATATAAGCACCCATCCACCCTCTGATCCATCTGTTCCACTCATTATTTGCCTAAGAGAAATGAAAACATCCATAAGAATGTTTGAAGCAGCTTCTTCATGGGGAAATCTTGTAACCATCCAAGATCTGTATGAATGGGTGGATACGTAAGCAAATTGTGTTATGTTCACAGAATAAAATACTGTTTCTTCTAGTAATGAATAAACTACTGGTACCTGCAACATGTGTGAGTTTTAGAGACACATATTGATCAAAAGAAGTGTGCAGGAAAGTATTACTGCATGTAATGTTCATATGAATTGCAAGAACAGGCAAAACTCATCTGTAATGACAGGTGCCAGCAGGTATCAGAAGGTTATTAGTTTAGGGCGTGGGCACAGAATTACTAGAAAAGAGTGATAGAAATGTCTAGATTTTGTTGGAGGGGCTATGTTAATATTTTTGTATACAAATTATACTTAAAATATTATTACTACCCCAAACAACCAACCAGCCAGCTGACCAGCCAACCCTCCAATCAGCCAACTGGCCAGCTAAATGGCCAACAGGCCAACTAACCAACCAACTAACCAACCAACCCGCCAGCCAGCCAGCCAACCAACCAGCCAGTTGGCCAACCAGACTGTAGGCTGTCCTTCGGTCTGTCCATCCAGCTAACTAGGCAGCTGGGTAGTCAACTATTTATTCATTATCCATCAATCCCTCTGTCCATCTGTCTATCCATCCATCCAACCATCTAGCCATCTATCAATACAGTGAGCTAACCCGGCCCACCTCTTAACAGCAAGTCAGCTTCAGCACCCTATGATCCTGTCCTCTTCCCAAAGCCCTGACTATGAATGCACAATGCTCTTGGGGGGACATTCTTGATATAAACCATAACAGTGAACTTGGCTATTTTTTCTCTTTCACATTTCTTTAAATGAAGCCTGATAGTGTTTTCATGTGGTACTTCATGGTTCTTGTGAAGCCTGTGGCATTATCTGTTTCTCTTCTTGCGAGTAGAAAACTTGCTAATTTTGGAAAGTTCTTGTACCTGGCTGTCCTGCTTAGTAGCTCAGACGTCTGTTTCTTGCCTGCTGGGGCACTATATGGTTGCTGAGACCCTGAGTTTTCTGTCTGATCATGGCACTCAGAGGAAGGAAGTGAAGGTTGCCTCCACTCTTCCCAGGAGCAAGAGTGTTTCCTGATGCCCCAGAGAATGCTGCCTGCTCAGTGGCTCAGGTGTCCCTGGTTCACTGTGTCTCAGCCACTCTGAGGCCTGCTTAGCTCCGCGTAGGGCACCACTCAGGCACACCTTTGGCGTGGGGTGAGATGGGCTTCGTTTTCCCCCAGGCTGCAGGGGTGTGTGCTATCACTCTGCACAATTGCAGTTCTGCCAGAAAGGGGTGAATGGGCCCTGGGTGAAAGTCTGTCCTGGGCATCTGTCACAGTGGCTTTTCTCCATCAATCTAATTGAGCACATGATGCAGTGACAAGATTTTCTATGTTGGACCATCCCTTCACCCTTGGAGGAAATCCTGCTTGTGTGTACTGTTCTTTGGCTGTCCTGCTGTGTTTTGATCTGCTAAGATTGGAGTTTAGATCTCTCTGTGTTCGTTAAGTGAGAGTATCTGTTACAAAGTTCTTTTAAGAATCAGAGTTAACACAGTGGAGAGACCCTGGTGTTGAAGGTAACTGAGTTCCGGTGTGGCCTTGGTCAAGTCCCTCAGCCTCCCTTAGACTGTTTCTCATTTGCACAGCAGTGCTCACAGCCCCGATGAACTCAAGCTGTTCTCAGGATCAAATAAGATCATACACGTGACAGTGCTCTTTAAACACTAAAGTTTAAACAAAGATAGAACTGTGTCTCCTGCTGTATATTCAAGATTTTGGACTTTTTGAGAGTTCCTTTTAATGAGGAGATGGGTTCAGAGGACATTAATAAGCCAATTTTCTTTGCTCTTTTTTTTTTTTTCTGAAACCATAATCAGAAAACCAGAGCTGTGCAGAGGGAGAGGGAGAGGCCCCGGGAACATGATTGGTAAACATTACCTTATTGGTGTTCAGATATTAGGTTCCTGCTTTTCATAATATCCTCAGGGAGCTGGAGCTGGGGAAGATTTGATATTTTTCTGAGATTGCTGTAAAATGCAAGTTATTGCTGATACCATTGCCCAATTATTCTGTACTTACTTTACTTAGACTTCAGTAATTGGAAAAAGATTAGATGTCAGGACTTTGTATTTTGTTGATTATATTACCAAAGTCTTCTCTTTAATCATTTCTTTTATTCTTAGTATTAATCATTTGCTCAGAGCTGTTAGGAGAAGAACCTAATGGTGGATTCTCACTTAGTGAAGGAAATCATTTGGTTCAGGGGTGCTGGGCGAGTGTAGATGCACCTGCGTGGGGCCCAGGTTCTGCAGCTGCCCACAGCGTGTGGACGGGTCTTAGCGGGCACAGAGGCCAGGTAGAATGGGGAGCCCCTTACCCTTGCCCCACACCCCCTGTTGTGCCCTGACCTGCCTCCATCTCTGGCCAGCCCCTCTGCTCCTACCTCTTCCCGCCTGTTGGCTTTGGGAAAGCACTTCTCATGCGCTGTTCTGCCCCGAAGCCATGTTGTCGTGGCTGCACCCAACATGACTACATCCTTAGTTAATGGTGTGTAGAGCCCAGCTTATCTCAGAAAGCAACTGCTTCTCAAGCTTCCAGAGAAAACCACGGCCTATAGGTGTTGAACAGTAAATGGGCGAGTGAGACGGGGTGAAGGTGAGAAGCGGAAGCCAGTTTAGGTGGCTGGGCTGGGGACACACAGAGAAAAGTCCTTTGGGGGGAAGGAGGCTGTGCCCTGGGCTTCACCGTTGAAGGGAAGGTGGGGCCTCACTGTCCCTGGCTCCAGGACACCCGGGCATTTTGCAAATCTCTGAGATTTCCATGCGAGCAGATAACATTTAGCTTTGTTTGAACAGAGTGGTGACGTACCTTCTCTCATATATTGAGAGTGGTCAGCTGGTTTTAGTAGTGCATACCTGTCATCCCAGCGCTTGGGTGGCTGAGGCAGGAGGATCCTTGTGAGTTCCAGGCCAGCCCGAACTAGATAGTGAGACTTTGCCTCAAAAGATCCCCCTCCTCCCAAAAAATCAGTCTTTGAAATATTTATCCTTCAGGGTTATTCTGGATCCTCCCACTCCCCATGACATTGGTGGAGTATGTTGGGGTGCTGGGGAAGATGCTAACCTTTTGTAAACTCTGTTTTCATTGTTCCTTTTTCTTGTTCACAGAGGAGTTGCGGAAGCTGAGCTGGTCTGGAATCCCTAAGCCAGTTCGTCCGATGACCTGGAAACTTCTCTCAGTAAGTCTCTTGCTCAGTGTGCTGCCTTCCTTCCATGAGGACAGCTGCCCAGCTGCTGAAGGTGGCCGCCAGCTGTGCCTCATGCTGCTTGTCATGGTCACATGTGGCCAAGATGTCGTCGTCCACTCTTTGCTTAATTTTATGATTGATTTGACGAGGCTGACAGAAAGTGAGGATCAGCAATACTTTTTTTTGGTACTGGGGATTGAACTCGGGTCCTTGCGTTTGCGCAGCAGGCGGCAAGACCACTGAGCTAAATCCCCGGCCCAGCAATACTTTTTGATAGCTGTATTCTTATCTGGTTTTTAGTATTTAAAAAATCATTATAGGATGGCAAACCTATGATGTAGGAAGTGTAGCACAGAAGATTGTTCTGCTCTGAGAAGTTGGAAATGTGTGATTCCTCAAGGGGTATGTATGTATGTGTGTATGTTATTAGTAAAACTGCCAGCTGAGAGAGAGAGAGAGAGAGAGAGAGAGAGAGAGAGAGAGAGAGAGAATATCTGAGAATATCTAGCAGTGAGAAGTAGTTTATCTCTGTGATGGAGCATGGAGCCCGCCCCTCAGGCCTTGCAAGGGGCTGCCTCCCTGGATGCCCTTCTGGAAGAGTTGAGTGGGTGTGCTGGTCACCCGCATGACCTCCTGTACTTAATTAACCCCAGCCTAATATTGAAAAGGAGTTCAGCACTCAGAAAATTTCAGAATAGTTTACAGACAGCTTTCTTCTCTTTTCCTTTTTTATTGTTTTTGGAGTTAAGTCAACAGAGAACTCTGAATTGTCTACTCTAAATTGGGTCTGACTGCAGTGTTTAAGAGACTCTTTCCTGCTAATGAGTCTTAATAAATCTGCAGCTTAGTACCTCGTAATCCTAAATGCAGATGCAGCTCTGAACAGTGAATATTTATTGATTAAATATTCTCTTGCAATTAAAATTATACCTGCTGTGATTGCTTGTATTTTTGTTTTGTGTTTTTTATTTTAAACATTTATATCCAGTTATCCTAATGTCCTCTGAGAGAGGGAACAAGCTCTTCAGATTGGTTTGTAGAAAGTTTTGATGAAAATACCTTAAAGATCCTTTTTTGTATCTTTATGTTTATTGGGGATGTGCTGCATCTGGGTGGAAAGTCTTATGTGAGAGGTTTTGTGCTGTTCTTTTCTTTTACTTGCCAATCTGTGTAGGTAATAGTTGTGATGCCAGGAAGTGCCTGTAAAGGGGCACTGAGGAGCAGAGGGAGACAGTGACAGCCATGCCCTGTTCATCAGTGGGGATGGGAGAGTGGGAGATGTGGGAGTCTGTGCACAGGAGCCCTGGCAGTGCCAGCTAGAGAAACCCAGGCTGCTCAGGTGCGTCTGTTTAGCTGTCACTGATCACAGGGGGACTTTGCTCAGGAGACTGAAGAATAGACCCTCGGCTGCCCCTCCATAGGAGGGTACCATTCTTTCCCAGCATCTCTGAGGGACTGTGGTGTTCCCTGGGGGAGGGCTGGGAGGTCACAAGACCAGAGACAAGCTGTCACATTCAGATCCCAGCAGGAGGGGCGGGCATGGGGAACCAAGGGAGTAGGAGGACCAGGAGGAGGCCAGGCCACAGTCACTCCCCAGACTTGGAGATCGCCTGGCTGGGCTTGGTTCTGAAGACTGGCACTGGGAGTGGTAAAGCTGTTCCTCGAAGGCAGAGCCGTGGGGGCCCCTGGTGGTTCACACAGTCATCCTGTGGAGAGTCCTGGGCCCCTGGTTTTGGTGCTGCAAAATGGGTGGGGGTAAGAAGACCGAGTCCAGCCCCTGCCTCCCTGCCTGCAGAGCAGAGAGGAGAGCGCCTGCCATTCCCTCATACCCCTCACTGCATAGAAGGGGGCCTTTTGCTCAGGCTGTTCCTGTACCCCTTGGCTCTGCTCGCCCTGTGCCCGCCCCTTTACCTGGTGCGAATACTCTCTGGGAGCCAGACCAGGCGCACGTGTGGATTTCTGCAGAAGCAGAGCACTTTCTGCTGGGTGTCAATTGGTGGCTCTTACCCAGTGGTTCTGGCCCCATGGCTGCTCCCAGGCACAGTCCCCTACATGTGCTTTCTGTCGTCAAGGGTGCAGGGAGCATGCAAGTGGTGTCAGTCATTAGCCTCTGATTCAGCAAGGGTTTCTCCCGATGCCTTGGCCAGGGTCTTTGCAAGTCTGAGGGTCCCCAGGACCTGTTGAAGAATGGTGGGCAGAGTCCAGCAGTTGTCCCTGCCTCTGGGCTGGCAGCCTGCTCGACTGCCCTGGGAGCAGTCCCAGGTCTGGTCCTGGCAGGTTAGAATCTGAGTTGGATGTGGGTGTCAGGTGGGTGCTAGTTCTGGGGTGCTATGAGCAGGGGCTGGATGGGGTGCCTGCCCTGTGGAGGGAGGGGCAGGGTGGGAGCCGCAAGGATGTGAGAGTTCTTGACTGGGGCTTTTCCAGCTTGAGCGGGAAGTGCTCAGCTGTAGGCTTCTGGAAGGTCTGGTCCAGGGCTGGAGGCTGTTGTTCTAAGACCCTTGAGCCCCACACAAGACAGGACCAGGGCAGGCACAAGCTGGCTGGGAAGCTGGTCACTGGCAGTCATGTACCCCATGATGGCAGAGCACCAGGGGGCTGAGGTACCTGGTGGGGGCTGGGCTGGGGAGTGGAGGGGTGCAGGATAGGCTGGAAGCCTGGTTAGGTTGTCTGGGTGACTCAGTGAATAGGAAGTCAGCTCTGCCCATCCCAGGACTGAGAGGTGGAGAGGCACACAGGGCTGAGTGGAGCTCATCATGGTGACAGGTAACCAAAGCTGCCTCAGTTCAAGTCCTGGCGCACAAGAACTTTTCCCATCACATTGGGATTCATCAAAGCTTCATTGGGGTTCAGGGAGGCACCTTACTTTCCTACATGGGCCTGCCATTTCTGAAGAAACACCAGACGTCCTCTATCCTGAACATGCCATTAAGCCACCAGTAATGCTACTTAACATTTAAATTCCACACAACCAGTTTAATACCTTTTAAAAAAAATTAGTGCTGTAGAAAACCATATTTTTGGCTCTCTTTTTAGTAACTATTTCGGCAACAACAAAAACTAATTAAACAGGCCTCGGATGTAGCTTAGCGGCACTGTGGCTGCCTGGCAAGTGCAAGGTCCTGAGTTTGATTCCCCAGTAGCGGGGAAAAAAATTCTAATGAAACATTTCACATTTAGGCTAGTTAGTATCATGATGAGGAGTGATAAACGCAACTCCAGGTTCACCTCCCCCTCTTCCAGTACTTTGAGGTGGGTTTGCACACGAGCACAGTGGGAGGGAACAGTCAGGTTTTGTGTCACTGGGACAATTTAGATATAAGTATATGCATGCATTGTTTTACATTTATGATTAGTGTTTTTATAGCATGCTAATACAGCAATTAAGCTTTCTGTAGTTCTGTCATTTAAAATTCATCGCATACTTGAATATATTTCATTTGCATAATTTCTAGTCTTGCTTAATTATCGAAAGGCCTCAACTTGTATATGTGTGTTTTCCTTTAGGAACGGGAATGTCAGGAATGTATGTGGGGCTTTTTATTGATTATGTTTCCATGATGACGTACTTGCCTTTTAGGATTTGGGCTGCAGTGAGCTAAGTTAAAATTTGGGGAACAGGAAACATTTCTAAGAGTGCTTACTCTGTTGTCCCATTTGCGCACCAGGGTCTGCACACTCCCTCTGACACCCGGAGGCCTCACTGTCCTGCATGGCAATTGGGCCCTGACCTGGCACACTAGCACTGCTCTCTGGCTGCTGCACATGGCACATGCCTGCTATCTGCCAGGCTGCTTTGGGCTGGCCCGGCCTGGACATGCTTACTGCCCACTCCACACTGTCTCTCCTTTCTTCCTCTATCTTCCTCAACATCAAAACCAAACTAAACCAGGAAAGCGTGATAGTAACCAGGCTTGCTGGTCAGAGTTAGCTTGGGGATGTTCTAAGGCCTCAGGAGAGAGCTGTAGGCCAACGGGAGAAGCTTCCACTGTGGTGGGAGGAGACAAAGAGAAAGTCAGTGAAGCTGATGGAAGGTGATAGGCTCTGTAGGAGGCACCTGGGGCAGGGTGCTGCTCAGTGGACGGTCTGAAGGGCCTCAGGGTCAGGCAGCCTTTGAGGTGGGACTTGCAGGAGAAGGGGGCCTCGAGAGTTCCTGGGGGCACAGTCCAGTTTCTGTCTGTGAAGAGATCTTGTCTGTTCCAGGCCAGTGTGTGTTGTCAGTGTGTCTCGGACCAGATAGAGTCCCTGCCCTGATGAGGTGGCACAGATGATGGAGGGGGATGGCACAAAAGCAGTGACAGCGTGGGAGGGTGGGTGCTAAAGAGCGAAGCGTGATGGTGGGGGCGGAGAGTGGCCTGTAGCCTGGTCCTCGTGCAGCCCAGGGGTCTGTACTGTGGTCTTTGTGAGGTACCCTCCGTGCCCCGATTCCTGGTGCCAAGTGGAGAGCTGGGAATGAGCTCTGTTGTCTGTGGGTGTCCCACGCCGTGCCCAGGTGGCTGTGGTCACTGGGGACTGTGGATGCCCTGGTGGGCCCTGCTCGGCGGCAGCACCACAGATTGGCTGTTGCTGTTGCGGTTGCTCAGCACCGGTAGGGTAGCCTCTCCCTTATCCAGTGGAGTAGCCCCGCTCTGGCCCGCCTCAGCAGTGTTTGGCCGCCTGCCTCATTTTGTCAGCTGGGCCGCTCTGTGGTGGGTGCAGCTTTCCAGCGTAGTGTAATTAACAAGTGCTCCTTGGTGACATCGCAGTGGGTGAGGGTAGAGGGCACTGGCGTGTGATGTGGCTGCTGGGTGTCAGCTGCTACCCCTCTCTCAGGGCCCCTTGGGAGAAGGCGTCAGGAGCCTTGGAGGCCCTATGCAGTGTGATCGCAATATAAGATTAGGGTTTAGTTTTTAAAACTTATTACAACAAAGAATACTTTGCTAGAATCCCCCTCAAAATACTGCCCTCCCCTCTTTGAGCACACTCGTCTCCTCGTTCTTCCACTCTGAAGCAGT